GGCCCAGGATCAGGCAGTGTTTCGTTCTGCTGTGCATAAGGTCGCTATGAGTCGGTACTGACTTGATGGCACCTAACAACAAGAACGTCTAATAAGTTCTGGTGGTACAGTGGTTAAAAGCTTAGCTGCTAACTGGTTCAAATCCACCAGCCCCTCTGTAGGAAAAGATACAGCAATCTGCCTTGGGGTAGTCCTTAAAAACCCTTTACAACCTTAGAAACTCTTTGGTCAGTTCTCTATCCTGCTCTATGAATTGAAGTCAACTCCAATAGCAACGGGCCAATCTAAGTCTGGAACACATTGTGTTAGAAACATTTTCTATTTAGCTGTATTAAATCAAGTTCTTTAAGAAATCACACTGGTTCATGATGCAGTACTGTTTTAACTTGCACTGACAACAATATCTCTTTGATGTTTGGGGGAATTTGGCATCCTTTCTTTACCCTTTCAGAATGATATCCCCAAAAGGACCAGCTCAACATCAGGCATCACGTAACTTGAAAAGGAGCTGTCTGACTGATTGTTCATTTCACAAAGAGGAATCTATATTAGTTCATCTTGGGGCCACAATACTTATGGCATGGCATTGATAGCTTGTGTTTGAGCTGCTTTATTTTAAAAACAAAGGCAGTGCTGTCATTCTTTGTGACGTTTAGAGAAATATACACGCTCAAAAACATTCCCACACTATCCTTTTGATAATGCCCCTCTTTCTGATTGACTATACTGCAAAATGATTCTTCTAACTGGATGCATAGAACACAAGTCTCATTAACCTGAAAGCACAAAAGGTTGAGTGTATGGGCGTATGAGAAAATGTTTTTTAAGTGACAGCTTACATATACTTAGAATAAATTTTCCCTGAGCATGGAGGTGGAAGTTTTGAACTCTTGTGTTTAAGGTTAGATTAACTCACTCTCTCTCTCTCTCTCTCTCTCTCTCTCTCTCTCTCTATATATATATATATATATATATATATACACAACATGCTGGGGCACAAAATACTTCCAGTGTTGGATGATTTGACATTATGAATGCATTAACATTATTACCCTGCATGGTGGTTAATAACAAGTACAGTAATAAACAAGAGCTATAATTTATTGTACATTTACTATTTTCCAGGCATTGTGCTAGCATTTTTAGTAATGATAATAATAGCTAACATTTTTGGGGAGCAGTTCTATGTGCCAGGCACGGTAATAAATATTTTTTTACATATATTATCTAATTTGATCCTTATAATAGCTCTTGGAAATATGCATTATTGTCTCCACTTCACAGAAGAACACACTAATTTTAGAAAGATTACAAGCAGTCCTTGATTTATGACGTGGTTCTTTTCCAACAATCCTGTCATATGTTTATTGTGATATGAGTTGAATATTATTCTCTCTCTCTCTCTTTTTCAGTTTTCATTATTAATACCTTTTGTTATCAGTATCTGCTGTCATTCCTTGGAAATCCTATTTCAGGGTCTCTATGAGTTGCATATGCTGCTCCCCATGTGTCCTGCACTCTACCTAACAAGGTCAGCTCTGACAAAGGCTGTACCATTTCCCCCACAATGCACCAGAGCAGCAGGGCTCTGTGGTAGAATTTGTGCCTTCCATGAAAGATGAGGCGGTCTGCTCCCGTAAAGATTTACAGCCTCAGAAACCCTGTATAGGGTCGCTATGAGTCGGAACTGACTCCACGGCACATAACAACAACAACAAATATGGGAGATGTGGGTTTGATTTGCAACCATGTACCTCATACACAACCTCCACCCATCTGTCACGTGTATGTAACTATAATTCTGACCACTTTTCAGCAGAACTTCCAGACCAAGATGCACTTAGAAAAAAGGTCTGGCGATATACTTCCTAAAATCAGTCAGTGAAAACCTATGGATAGCAATGATCCAATCTATAACCAACCATGGGGATGAAGCAGGACCATGAAGCTTTTCCTTCCCTTGTGCAAAGGGTTGCCATGAGTCGGGGGTGGGCCAACGTGAAGGCTGTTAACATCAACAATGATGACAACAAGACACTTCCAAATACACCCTAACTCTTAGACAGGAGTTCTGGTGGTATAATAGTTAGATACTTGACTGCTAACCAAAATGTCAGCTACTCAGTGAGTGAAAGATGTGGCAGGCTGTTTATATTACATACAGTCTTGGAAACACTATGGGGCAATTCTACTGCATCTGTAGGGATGAATTGGGATCAACTCAACAGCACAAAACAGCAGTAGTAATTCTTACACTTATAAATTAAACGGAATAGGGGAAATACAAAAATAAATCCATTTAAAGACTTGTTCAACATCAACGTTAATCATATTTAACAACTTTCACACACAGATAAAAAGTAGAAGCCAGAGCATAAATTGCAGTCATCAGACACTTTAGGGCATCGTGGTCTTTGTTAATTCTACCCAAGCATTTATTGCATGCCGATGGTGTGCCAGATAGCGCAGAAATACAGATACCTAAAAAGGCATGCCCATCCAGGGAAAGCATTGTAAGTCCACGTGACAAGTTCCTGTAACAAGTGTGCATGCGTAGGGAATTCTGGAAGCCTTGTTCAAAGGGCTGTTTCTATTAATAGCTGTTTCATAAGGATCATACCAACAATTAATCTTACAGTTTAACTTGTTTTTCTTTACCTTGTTCTTGATTCTCTTCATTCTCTAATTCATTGGCAGCAAAGATGTCTTTGATGGAAATTAGGTCATTTTTTAAGATTTCCAGCTTCTCTCCATCAAATGATGCTAAAAATGACTGCACCTGAAAAAAGAAATAGGTCAGCACCGCTGTCATCTTTCTTCTCTATAACATTTCCGCCAGCCCTCCCCAACCCTCCCAGGGCTGCGGTGACTCATGGTGGGCAAGTTGAGAGGCTGTAGAGGGAAGACTCCACAGAGGGATGTTGCTTGAACTGAGTAGTCATGTTGGCCTTGGACCTTGTCATTACAGCTCTCCTATGAAGTGTCCTTTCTCATTCTCTGAACATTGATTCAATTATCTAACAGGAGCAAAGGTCCTGGAACTCCACCCCCGCTCCCCCCCCAAGCAAAAACAAAAACAAAACTCTGCTGCCAAGGAGTTGATTCTGCGTCGACCCTATAGGACAGGGTAGAATTGCTCCTTTGGGTTTCTGAGATGGTAA